TTCCCATCCAGCTCTCTGCCTGTGCCCTGGGAAAGCAGCAGAGGACAGCACAAAGCCCTGGGCCCCTGCACCCACGTGGGAGAACCAGAATAAGCTCCTGGCTTTGGGTTGGTTCAGCTTCGGCTGTTGCAGCCACTTGGGGAGTGAATCAGTGGATGGAAGATCTTTGTCTCTCCTTCTCTCTACATATATGACTTTCCACTAAAAATAAATAAATCTTGGGCCTGGCACGGTAGCCTAGTGGCTAGAATCCTCACTTTGAACATGCTGAGATCCCATACGGGCGCCGGTTCTAATCCTGGCGTCCCTGCTTCCCATCCAGCTCCCTGCTTGTGGCCTGGGAAAGCAGTAGAGGACAGCCCAAATCCTTGGAATCCTGCACCAACATGGGAGACTTGGAAGAAGTTCCTGGCTCCTGGCTTTGGACTGGCGCAACACCAGCTGTTGTGTCACTTGGGGAGTAAATCATCAGATAGAGGATCTTCCTCTCTCTCCTCCTCTCTGTATACCTTTGCAATAAAAATAAATCTTTAAAAAAACAAATCTTTAAAAAATGCATACTACGAGAAATCTGTAAGTGGATTTCAAAAATTTTGCATGAAAACAAACATAAACATTTCCACAAACTTTTAAAAGTATCCGCATGTATACTGCATACACGTATATTGCATTATTCTGTATTATTCTCACAGGATGAGGGGTGTGATCCAGCCCCTGACACTCTACTATACAATATGGTGCATTATTTTCCAAGCTACCGGGAACCTTGTTATTTTTCCATTTGTCAGGTCTTAATTCAGTCCTTACCTAGATTGAAACTATAGTTTGTTTTTAAATGTAGATATGGAACCTTTGTTGTGTGATATTTGATGTGACAAAGCTAGTATCACTACGGAACTATTTGGGATATTTTTGAGATAGGACAGTTCCTAAGTTTATGATAAATTTTAAAGTAGGTTCATTTGAACTGGGAGGCCTGGCATGTGTTCTGTTTATAATACAGACAGATGGGTAATTCCTGTAAAAGAAAGCTGCTACCATCTGTAATATGAGAGGTCAGAAAGGAGCAGTTAGGGATTCCATATTAGCAACGTAAAAATTGTCAGCACCTGTTCAAATGAAATGTGATATCTGTGACAGATGAAAACATGGAACCCTGATGGCCTGGGGCAGCCTAATTCAAAAATCCAACCCATCATTGTTTAAAGATTTCAGCACCATGGTCACTGTTACTCTCCAAGACTCCTCACTACTCCAATACTGTTGTGTTATCATTCTGGTGGTAATTCTCACACAGAGTACCAAACACATGTGAGCTATGTGGACGGGCCTTTCAAAAACCTTTACTGACTTTCAATTCCCCGAGTTCTCCTCTTCAAGGGATACTGTGCCCTCCACTACTTCAGTTATGCATTCTCAGAATAGATATCATATCAATAACTTCAACCTGTCCCATAATCTGACTCCAATTTTTCTCTCTCTGGCTCCTTCCCTGGAGTAGCCAAACTTCAGCCATCCAGCAACCAGAACAGAAGCACCAATCTGGTCACGCTGCCACCTCTGTGCCACTCCCCAGCCCCCTCTTACCACCTCTGATATCATAATGTCTGCTTTGCTGTTACCCTCAAGCACTCTCCCCTCTCCACAGGATACTTGCCTGGCCAAATCTCAGTTGAGGCGACTACCAAACTACAACTCAATGCTTGCACATGAGTCACTGAATATGGCTGGGGGAAAATGCACAACCAACTAATAGGTCTCACTCTAAATTCATGACCACTTAGTCAAGGGAGCCCTTATTATTATTTGGAAAACTTACAATATTCCCTTGTCAATTTACTCTCCCTCTGTAGACTTTTTTTTTACATACCTTTCTCATCATCCCTGACAGCTGCCCGCTCAATGACTACCTCAGCTATAGTCTAATTTACTGTAACAAACAGATTGCCCCATGGCATGGTTGCCACACAATAAAAATTTATACCTGTTCAGACAATTCAGGGTGCAGCTCTCCTTCATCCAGGCAGCGACTTTCTTGTGGCTCTGCCAGCCTGAGAGCCTGGCCGTCATTGCACAATCACAGTACAGTCACCGTGTCCAAGGTCCAGCTGGCAGAAAGGAAAATGCTTGAAAGAGGTGCATATATACTCTGCCACGCCCTGGCCTGACGGTGGTGGGTTTAACTTCTGTCCACATTCAACTGCCTTGACCATATCCAGCTGAGGGGGAGGCTATGCAGTAAGTAATCCACATGTTGTGGGACACAGCAAGACTGCATTGTGATGGGTTAGCCACCTGCCCTGACAATGCGCCTTGTCTCATCGGGAAATCACAAGCAGCTAGGACAGGATGATGTGCTCCTGCGCTCAGCTCTACCTGTTTCCTTTGGCATGTCCCATACACACGGAACCAGGGGGTCAGGAAGTGGCTGATTCCAAGCCTTCAATTAGAATCACGTGGTCATAATGACCCTCCCAGCTCATCACAAAAGGCCTTCCTTCCTTGAGCTTTTCTGCCTCTGCGGAATACTATCGGATGCTACTAACCAACGCTTTCTGCCTGACTTGAGTGAAACCCCAGTTCACCTTGCTTCGATGATTTGGTCTAACCCTGGTTCTCTCACTACCTCTTCCCCCTTTCTTTGTTGGCATCTTTCATCTCAATCAGAGCTCCTCAAATTTCCATGTGGCACAAACCTCCCACATGGACGGTGCTGATTTGTCAGCTCCAGGATGGGGGACGAGCGTCTGTGTTCCAGCATGCTGCTGGGCTATCCGCCACACTGTGAGTGGCAAGACTCTATACTTGTTTTCCAGGGCTCTATCCCGGTTCTTCCTTCCTCTCGGAGTGCGATTACTGCTAGGCAGGTTCTCTCCCGATCTCATGTCTACTTCAGTAGTCTTTATTTCAAAACCTTTCTCATTAGTCCACGGACTCCTTCACATCCTTTAAAATGAATCTAAACCAATTATCTTTTTCCAAAATCCATCTTTCTCTAACAATTGTCTCTTTCTACCTCTTCTGAGTAGCTACACACTCAAACCTCTGCTATCTTTCTCTTACTCCCAATTCATGGATCAGTGGCCAACTTCTTTAGATTCAGTTTCTACACAGAGCGTGGTCTCGCAACCACACTCAAATTCCTTCTGTCCCACATCTAGCTCTGTCACCCCTCCTGGGGCCTACTGAAGCTGTCAGTTTGTCCATTTCTGATTTCTGAGTACCTTCACAGAGATCAACAGTTGAGGGAAAAAAGAAGCTTCCTTTCTTTGCTTCTCCCCACCAATTTTTAACTTCAGAGAAGGCCAACTAACGGAAATGATTACACTCCCCAACCCACCTGTGGGTCTATTTTCCTTCATCTCCGTCACTTCTCAACATACCCCAAGTCTTTGCTAGTTCTGGAACAGGCTTGGCTTCTGAATGCCAGTGTGTTCTTCCTTCCCGAACCAGGGGCCATCCCAAGCGCATCCTTTTCCCTGCCGTGTCTTTCTTCCTGACGTCTGCCCCTCTCCCCCGACAGATCCGGAGGTTTTCTGATGCTCTGCTGTGTACTTTGCACGTGACACCTGTCACTGTTTATCTCTCATCACTGTTTGAATTCCCTACTCTTTGAGGATGAGGAAAACAGATCTTCGCCGCCGCTTTGTAACCCCCGAAGTATATTATTCTACTATTCGCGGAGTCGAAGTGATTGATATAAAGGGGTCGTGCGAGGCTGCGACAGGCGCCAAGGGTCAGCTGAAGTGCAGCTCAGGCATTGATTAGCTGGGGGGTGGGAGGGGGCTTTGGGTAAGTCGCTCCACTTCGCCAGCAAAATGAGACGTCTACCGCGGGATGGAGCATCACGTGAAAGGGCCATCTTTAGCCAGGCGCTCCAGAGAACCGAGCAACGTTCGTTAGGGACCTCCACGGGGAGCGGAGGCTGTCTTGCCATTGGAAATCCTTTCCCGGCAGTACCGGTCCGACTTTACTAACTGGAGGTCGGTGTCCGAGACGCCGGCGAGCCGGGCCTCCTGGGCCCCTCGAACGGCTCTCGGCGAGGCTGCGGGGGCGTGGCTGGCGGCCCCTTCCCTCAGCGAGGCCTCTCGCCTCTCCCGCCGCTCGGGGAGCGAGCGCCTCGCTTCGCCGTGACCCCGAGGACCGCTGGCGCCGCCGCCTACGTGAGACGTTTGGACCCAGCCCGGCCCCCGTAGCTCCCCTTTCTCCAGCAGGTGGTTCTAGTCCTCTCCTCCCAACTCGGGGCGCTCGCGTCAGCCGCGAGCTTCTAGACTCCCCCTCCCGCCCCCCGCGCCAGAGACGCCGTCAACCGAGAAAATAAACAAACCCCGGGCGCGCGGCGGCGGCGGCGGCCGGCGCGCCAGGCCCCGCCCCCTCGCGGCTCTCACGCCGCCCCCTCCGCCGGGGCTTCCCTCCCGCCCTGCGCCCGCCCGCCCGCGGCCGCGCTCGCTCTGCCCGCCCCTCACCGCAGCCTGCAGCCGCGCTCCCCGCCGCCGGCCGCCCGGACCCGTTAGTGCCCGGCGGCGTCCAGCCCGCCCGCCCGCCCGCCGAGCCCACGCGCGCGGCTCCCCGGCCCCGTCGCGAGCCCGGCCTCCGCCCCTCGCGACACTTGACCCGCCCCCCCAACCCCCCCAACGCCCAGTGCGGCCACCTCGGGAGCCGCGACCGGAGGAGGGCCGAGCCGCGGCGGCCGGTGAGGCCCGGTGAGTAAGGCGGAGGCGGACCGGCCTCGCGCGGCAGTCCGCTCCCGGGGGGCCGCCGGAGGCGGTTGTGGCGGTTCGAACGCGCTCCCCCTCGCCTCGAGCGCCCCGGGCTCGGCTCGGTGAGGACGCGGCCTGAGGCGACGGGGCCCCGTCTGGGCAGAGCCTCGCCGGGGGCAGCGGGGCGCGGGAGGGCCGCTCCCGGGGAGCAGGGCCGCGGGGCCGACGCTCGGCGGGCGCTGGGGGGGCCGAGGCGGAGGCGGCCGGACCCCAGGCCGCGTCGGCCCGGGGCACGCACCCCGCCGGGGGGCCGCCCGAGTGACAGGTGCCACCGCCGCCGCCGCCTCCCCGGGAGCCCGGCGCTTGGAAATTTCTGGAGCGACGACTTGACTGGTGTGTGTTCTGCCCCTTTTTCAGCTTCGGGAACCGCTTCTCTGACGGAGTTCGGTCTCGCCGGGCCCTGGTTCCTTCTCTCTGTACTTCGCGAGTAAGTTTTGGAGCATCGGGTAAAATTTGGCTTGCATTCATGAATGAGGTAGAGTGGATTACTTTTTGAATATGGTGCTCCTCCTCTCTGCCAGCTATTGAAACTGAGCGAGCCGAATTTTGAGGTGTTTCCCCCTATTCTCCCCCGTTCTTTGCGTTTTTTTGGTGGAAGGCTGGTTTTTAGCACAGTCTTTAAGAATTTTTATCAGACCGCTGGCGTTTTCGGTGCTTGATCGATATTGATCAGGAATGACGAAAATAGCCTTTCGGCTTCTTGCTCTTCCCTTTCCCCCCTTTAAATCTTTCCCTCGGTCGGATTTTTCAAATGAGTGGGTGTTAATGCCTTCGTAAGAAGTGCTAATGAAAAGTCATCTTTCTTCTGCCGAAAAGCTGGATGATGTTTTCTTACTCACACCCTTTTAGCATTGTCTCTCTGTGGTAAATGTTTGTGCTCTGATTATAACTGAAATGATCGTTTAGGACGTTTGGGATGTATGGCTGGAAAGATATTGGAGAAATATAGCAAGTGAAAATACTAGAATCCTTGAGCCGAGAAGTCTACATTGAGGGGAAGAACACTGTGGGCAGGTGAAAAGATGAATGCTTTATTCGTGGGAGACTCCCAGCGGTCCCCTCTCAGCGCCTGCCTGTGCTCCTTCTTCTGATATCCCAGTCCACAGAAATTGGAAGCTATAGACTAGAAGGGGCAAGGCAGTACTTAATTATGAGGAAAGCGATGGAGTTGGGGTACATTATGTGGTTTGCAGAGTTTCCATATGCTCCTGGCAGTTGCTGTGACATTAGTTTTTAAGGAGTCAAGGTGAAGGATATGTTGAAAAACAGAACCCAAAATGATAAAGTTTTTTATCCACTGTGTGTTAAGTCAGTGGTGCTCAGGGCCGTTTTGTTTTAGGTGCTGTGTGTTTTTCTAAATCTACATTTTAGTGAGGCCATACTAATTGGCGTTTCTTTTTTTTTCAATGAGAATTTCTGATTGATATTTGGGGGGAGAGGGGTCTAAAGACAGGGAGTTTATATACATATGTATTTTAAGGATTTATTTATTTAACTTGAAGAGAGGGAGAAATGGAGACCTTCCATCTGCTGGTTCACTTCCTGAATGGCTGCTGCAATGGCTGGAGCTGAGCTGAGCTGGTCTGAAGCCAGGAGCTTCTTCCAGGTCTCGCGTGGCAGTGCAGGGGACTTGAACCATCCTCTGCTGCTTTCCCAAGGTGTAAACAGAGAGCTGGATTGGAAAGTGGAGCAGCCAAGCCTCAAGCATGCACCCATGTGAGATGCTGGCATCATAGGTGGAGGATTAGCCTATTATGCCACCATGCTGGCCTCTATTGTTCATTTTATTAGAAGGGAGATGGAAGTACTACAGCATAGCAGTTTAAGGCATTGCCAGCATCCCATATGGGCACTGGTTTGTATCCCTGCTGCTCCCCTGCCAGCAGCCTAGGGAAAGCTGTGCATTAAGGCCCCTCTGGGAGACCTAGGTGAAGCTCCTGGTTTCCTGCTTTCCCAGCAGTGGTCTTTATGCCCATCTAGGGAGCACACCAGCAGATGGGAGATCTCCCACTTTTTTGGAAACTCTCTGTAAGTAAGTAAATCTTAAGGGCACTGGTGTATGTGTGTGTGTGTGTGTGTGTGTGTGTGTGTAAAATATAGTGCTGCTGTTGCAGCACAGCTGGTTAAGCTGCCACTTGAGAATTTTGAATTTTGAGTCTTGGCTGCTCTGCTTATAGTCCGGCTTCCAGACTGCTGCCATCCAGATGGGAAATCAGGAGAGGGTTCCTGGCGTCTGACTTAGGGCTTGCCCAGACCTGGCTGTTGTAGCCATTTGGGGACTGAGCCAGCAAATGCAAGAGCTGTCTGTCCCTCTCTGTCAGTGTGCCTTTCATGTAAATAAACCTGAGAAGACAAATGGGATATATTTGCTTGTTCTGGTGCAAGGAATGTATATACATAAATGTGCAGTCTGTTCGAGATGCCCTGGTTTTGACTCGCTGTACTGAAATACACTGGCTTGCCTTCTTTGCTGACTCTAATGAGGTCAGAGTTTACAGATGAGGTCAGACGCCTGAGGTAGAGCCCAAGCATAACAACCTTTTAAAAACCCTGCTGGGGCCCAGAGCGGTGGCCTAGCAGCTAAAGTCCTCTCCTTGAATGCGCTGAGATCCCATATGGGTGCTGGTTCTAATCCCAGCGGCCCTGCTTCCCATCCAGCTCCCTGCTTGTGGCCTGGGAAAGCAGTTGAGGACGGCCCCAAAGCGTTGGGTTCCTGGACCCTCGTGGGAGACCTGGAGGAGGTTCCTGGCTCCTGGCTTTGGATTGGCACAGCACCGGTCGTTGCGCTCACTTGGGGAGTGAATCATCGGATGGAGGATCTTCCTCTCTGTCTCTCCTTCTCTCTGTATATCTGACTTTGCAATAAAAATAAATAAATAAATTTTTAAACAAAAAACAACCCTGCTGCTTACACTTTAGGCTATTCACGTTTAATCTGATACATCCAAGTTCAAGTCAGAACTTTAAAACCAAATGTGGTTCCTACACAAATATCTCTGACAAAATTAGGTATGGTGATGATTGATTGGTAGAATAGTACTTACCATCATAGAACAACTTTGAACTGGAAGTAATCCTTGTTAATTTATAATCCATGTTGCATTATAGGAATGGAGATGACCTGTTGTGGTTTGTGTTTTTCTCCTTCTGAAGCGCATCTTTGAATGCGTAGATGATTGTTTACTTGGGGGAATTGAAGCATAAAATAAACACCAGGTCCAACAAATTTATTTTCTGCACCCATGTCCTATGGTGGTTGTTAGGAATAGGAATAAGCCCTTGAATTTCAGGATCTGAAAATCAGGATCCCGGAGGCAAGGCACTAAAGTAGATTTTTCAATGCCATCCATTCAGTAGCAGAAAGGCGGAGTATGGAGCGTTCAGGAGGGAGTGATTGCCCGGGGAAGCACCTCATAGGATGCTTCCTAGAGCTCCTCACACCCGGGCAGGCTTGGGGGCTGTGAAGAGATGAAGGGCATTGCCAGCACTGGCAGTGGGGTAGAGGAAGGTATGAACAAGTCAATTGATTCTGTATTCAGTAAAATTTCCTGGAGCACATGTAAAATCTGAGTGTTGCTATTGAAAAGTCTTAATACAAGTCAAAGAATTGGCTTTTGGTGTATTGAGTAGAATGTAGACTTCATTACACTTTTGACATTTTTGTGACCTGAAGTACAGAATTAATAGTTTTTACTAAGTGGTGGTCATTGAAGTGTAGGAGGCGGTGGAGTAACGGAGGATACATTATTGTATGTGAGATGCTTTTATATTTGTAATTATGCTTTGTGTTTCTTTTGCATTCTGATCCTTTAAAACTTTTTTTAAAAAGATTTACTTATTTTCATTGGAAATGCAGATCAGATTAATGGAGAGGAGAGGGAGAAAGATCTTCTACCCAGTGGTTTACTTCCCAGATGGCTGCAATGACCAGGGCTGAGGCATTCTTAAGCCAGAAGCCAGGAGCTTCTCCTGGGTCTCCCACACGGGTGCAGGGTCCCATGACTTTGGGCCTTCCTCTGTTGCCTTCCCAGGTCATAAACAGGGAGCTGGATGGGCAGTGGAGCAGTTGGGACATGAACTAACTTCCAAATGGGATCCCAGTGATTCCAAGGGTAGGATTCAGCTCTTGAGCCCTCATGGTAGGCCCTTAAAGTTATTTTTAAATTGTGAATTTCTTCTATCATCCTTCAACTATTTATATTAGCTTTGAATTTTTTTTTTCCAGTGGGCAAAGCAAGATTCATTTAAGGGGGAGTGAGAGAAGTCTACTGCCATACTGACAGGAGGAGACTCCAAGGGAGGAAAGATCAAAAATTATTAAAAAAAAATAATTTTTTTTTTGTTTGAAATGTAGAGTTTTAAAGAGAGATCTTTTATCCATTGGTTCATTCTGCAAAAGGCCACAACAGCTGGAGTTGTGCAGGTCCAAAGCCAGGAGATTCTTCCAGGTCTGCCACATGGGTGCCGGGGGCCCTATGCAGTCATCCTGTGATGCTTTCCTAGGCCCGTTAGCAGGGAGCTGTACTGAAAGTGGAATAGCCAGGACCCAAACTGGAACCCAAATGGGATGCTGGTGCAGCAAGTAGTGGCTTAGCCTGCTGTGTCACAGCACTGGCCCCTAAAATTACTTTGAAAAGCAGACTTGAAGGGAAGAGGTAAAAAAAATTGTTTCTGGACTAAAACCCCTGATTAATATTTAGAAATATGCAAATATCTGTTTAATGCTGCCACATTGAAAGGCTAATGTAGAGATAGTTTAGTGGTGGTTCACTTAGTGTGTTTTATTTCTTAAGATTGATGTATTAGAAATAGACTGAGAAAGGAAGAGATCGATCTTTCATTCACTGTTTCACTCCCCAAATGTGACAAAAGCCAGGACTCACCAGGCCAAAGCCAGAAACTATCCAAGTTTCCCACGTGGGTGGTGGGAAGCCAAGTACTTGGATTGTCACCTGTGAATTCCACATATGTTAGTGGTAGGATGGATTGGAAACACAGAATCCTGTGTGGAAATTGAGGTGTCCTAAGTGACAGATAAACATGCTGTTCAACAGCATGGCCTCTGCTATATTTCTATTCACACTGTGTATTCCTTATTGTGACATTTAAATGTCTGAGTATATATCTGAATTTTAAGGACCAACTTTTAAAAAATCTTATCTTATTTAATTGGAAAGCAATTAGAAGTAAAGCTAGAGAGACATTAAGTGGATATAGTGGTTAGAGATGGGTCAGGCTGAATCCAAGAGCCCGGAACTCCATTCAGGTGTCCCATGTGGGTGACAAGAACCCCAATGCCTAAAACATGTTCTCCTGCCTTCCCAGGCAGATTAACATGGAGCTGCATTGCAAGTGGAGCCTGGGAACTTGAACTGGTGCTCGTTTGGGTGGTGCAGGTGGTGGCCTAACTTGTTGTACAACACTGGC